AGGACGTTGGGACTGTATGAAAATATCTCAGTGAATTAGCACGGGGAGAGGAGAGGGCTCTGAATTTTTACTAAAATGGTCTGAGAACCTGGTGGATTTCACCTGCAGAGAATTGTGGCGACACCAGAGTTCCCTGCACTTAACAGAGATGTTTAGAATTCTGAGAATCGAGGTCTCCAAGCGCCTGCTCAACTAGTCTCGGGGATTGTGCCCTGGAGTCACATGGGGATTGTAAGGTGCCTGTGGGGAAGCATGGTGTAGGACAGCCAGCTGCTGACGCCCTGGTCTGGACCTCCTGCGGTGGAAGTGTGAAAAAGTAAAAGGATTTGGTTTAGTGTTTCTTTGGTCCTCGTCCCCAACCCTTTGGGCTTGAGGTCTCAGGCTGTGGCATGGGGTTGCTGACTGGTACCAGAAGCTGCCCAAACACCTGTTTCTTTCCTCTCCCTAGGGGAGAAGGTGCCCTGCTGGAATGCCCAATCACAGGAGGGGGCAGCGGGCTCTTCCAGGTGGCTCCCATCCGCTGCGGCACCTTCTGGCGTTTCACGGTGGTAGAGCTTAGCAGGGGTCCTCAAACTTTTTAAACAGGGGGACAGTTCACTGTCCCTCAGACCGCTGGAGGGCCGGACTATAGTTTAAAAAAAAAAACTATGAACAAATTCCTATGCACACTGCACATATCTTATTTTGAAGTAAAAAAACAAAACAGGAACAAATACAATATTTTGTATTTGCATGTGTCCTGCGGGCCGTAGTTTGAGGACCCCTGGCTTAGAGTTAAGACCACGGGCTCTAAAGACATGCCCAGATCTGAGGCTTCCTAGTTCCAGGACCATGGGCATCTCAGACCTCTGAGCCTCAGTGTCCTCATCTGTAGAACAGAGATATTGCAGGAACTAAATGCTATAAGGTAAATCAAGTGTTCAGTAGTCTTAATAAATTTTTATTACTATTGGCCAAAGGACAGGAGGGGGGAGGCCAGAGGTTGCTGATCCCAGAGCACGCATCTAGGCTGTGTTTGATGTAGTAGACACTTCATTCTGCATGGGTGTTCCCACAGTGGTTTTATGCTTCGCCTCAGTAGGTGAATGGTACTCATATTCAACATTCGCACAATAAATTGGTTTGATCTTTCTGTCACACAGTCTGGAAAGAAATGTGTTGCAATAAACTAGCAAACGTTCCCTGTGCCTCAAAGAAAATATCCTAAATCACTTCTGAAATAAATTGGGGGGTTTTTTAAAGCTAGACAGTAAGTAGATAGTAAGAGAGTGACTAAGTAATTAAGAGCATGTCAATGATTGAAGATTACCTAACCATTTCAAATGACCTGTGTATGGGAGTTAGAAATATATAAATAGAATAATGGCGATTGAAAAAGAACAATCCAAAATATCCATTGATTACAGCCTTGTTAACACATCTCATCTGTGTACATTAACAAAGATTGAGAAAATGTGAAGGGACGGGCTCTTTTTCTCTAAAATTGCTTCAGTCTAGAAAAGATTTTAACAGTGAATAAAAAGCACCATGTTCTCTAAAATCTTTCTGGGAAGGGCAAATGGAATTTAAATAATTTTAAAGGCCTACCTAAGGCATTCCTTTGGCCCAAAGAAGATGAAGGCTTGTATCAGAATGATTGTAAAATAAAACTGGACCCTTTACTCAGAGACATTCTACCTGCACTGCACTATCTTTTTACAAGAAACTAACTGTCTCCTGCTATCACCGGCCCACCCCGCCTCTCTGCCAAATACAAAGCCTTGTGAGTGATCTATGGACGGGTCCTTTCCGGCCAGGGAAACATTGAGTAGGAATAGGTCTTTCTGAAAAGCTCTCCCCACTCTGCCTGAGCCAGACCAGAGTTGCCCATGTTCAAAGCTTAACTGAGTGAAGTGTGGGAGCCAGCTCCGGAGGGAAGCTGCTCGCTCGGACCATGGTCCCCACTCCAAATGCTCGCACAGCCTCCCTCGCAGGCCCCATGAGAGAGCTTGAAACAGTGGTAGATTGAATTCAGTCCGAATAACTTTTTTAAATCTGTTCATTAGAATACAAACACACACACAAATTGAGGGTAAAGGACTAGCTTCGAGTTTTGATGACTATTCTCTCATCTGTAACTTGTTCTTTCAGCTGGTCATTTGCGGAACTAAAATACAAAACCAAGAAGATAGCTCATCCGCTGATTTAGTGTTTTGTGAGTTTAGTGGCAGAACAGGTCGGCAGAACTGCTAACCAGAATCCTCTGTGAACGTGATTTTGGAATTACTGGTCTGGCCCATTCATTTTTGTCCTTAGTGACCCCCCTTCCTTGTGACTTACCTTTGTTTATTTGTATTATTATTTTAGTACTGACATTACTTAACTGTTAGTTTAGCTAAATAAAATTTCTCTTTGTTATCAAGACTTGTCTCCCCACACCCCCTCTAACCAGCTTCAGCGAGTTGATAGCAAATGAGCGAAGGAAGACTGCAGAAAAAGCCAAAGCAGTAGTGGTTAAAAAGCAACGTCTTATTTTAGTTTTGGAAACCTCTGCCAAAAAAGAAATGGCTAAGCAAAACATTTCTGAAGGGGAGAAAGAACTGTGGGTTTAAGTGAGAAGAGGACTTGGTTCTAGGCTCAGCATTCCCTCCGACTGGTTCTGCCCTAAGCAGGTCATAGAGAACCTCTCTACCAATCACCTCATCAGTCAGCAAGGAGGTGGGGTGAACAGACTTTTAAGACCCGGTTTTAACCTCCCGTAACTCTCATTCCTGGAGTTCCCAATCTCCTGGCTCCAAATCTTGGTCCCATCCCACCCTCTTCCCCACCCTCTTGAGGAGTGGCTCGGCCCCATTCCTTGTGTAGCCATTGGCCCTGACCTTGGCCAGTCACCTCTCCTCTCTGGGTCTTCTCTGGCCAGTCAGGCGCGAGGAGGGTGAGATGGCTGGCTGCCTCCTGCCTGTCTCACAGGGGTTGTAAAGGCTGGTGCAATTTCACGAAGGATGAATTCCTCCGAGGAAGAGCCTGCCTGAGTGAAATATCTCAGTACTTCAGCTGTGATTATTGCTGTAACATTCAGGGATCATGTGGGATGAGAAGAGGAGCAGGTGTAAGTATGCCTTGTGTTTACGATAATGACGTGGAAAGAGGCCTTAGAAGGCATCTAGGGTCCCACTTCACTTACAGATACAGACAGGGAAACTGAAGGAATTGAAGTGGTGAACTCCAGGCCATAAGCTTACTCATGTGCCATGTCTGGAGCCTAGATCTCCTGGCTCCCAATCGGGGGTTCTTTCTAATACATCAAAACAGAGGCCCTGGAACTGGCTCTTGGTTTCCAAAACCTTCCACAGGCTGGCTCTGGAAACTGAGCGTGTCTGCACAGCCTGCTCTGATTTGGTGAAGACACGTTACCTGTGAAGTTATTCAGTGTAGGCAACGTCTGAGCACTGGTCAGGCCGGAACACCCAGCAGTCAAAGGATCCTCATTCACCCACTTTCCCCCACAATTCCCACTGTCCCAGAGGACTGACTAGAGGCGGTGCGTTCTGAGAGGGCCTGGTAGGTGCTGGTACAGGGAGCACAGAAGAACTCCAGAGTCCCATTTCAGAGAGACAAGGTTGTCTGGCTTTCTTCTCCTGGGCCAGGTGCCTGGAATCGCAGCCAGCAGTGTCTCCTTGGGGAGAAAAGCCTGAGACTCAGCTTAGAGCTGGAGGGAGAAGGTGGTCTGCATCCTTGCCTCCCACCTCTATCCAGATTATGGATCTCTAGTTCTTCCCACCGGACATTTGTCATCATTTCATTTACTTATTGAACACATATTAATTAGGCACTCACTGGATGTGAGGCCCTGGAGAGGCACAAGAGAGCCAGAAGGGACTTCGGATTTCAGAGCCTTTGTGTTTTGGACGGTCCCAGATTCCTTCCTGTAATCGTGTACAAAGTTTCGGAGCATCTATAAATGTGCATTTTTCTTGGGAGAGGGTCCTTAACTTTGATGAAATCTGTTGTTACCCTGTAACAGCTAAGTACACAGTGGGTGGACACTAGAACCTTGCTTCATGCACCTGCTGTCCCGGTCAAGTGTCTTCATCCTACCTATTGCATCGAGACCACGGGGCTGACTGGGTGTGAACAAGTGAGGCACGTCTGCCCAGAGCTCTGGTATTTTCTGTTGAACCCCAGGAAGCTGTGCCTGCCCTCCCATGTCCCGGCCCCACATCTGTAGATTCTGCCTCACAGGTCGATGTCCTGCATATCCTGGCTTAGCAGCTGCAACCCCAGACCTCAGTGCGCCCTGGAGAAGCCACAGCTGGCATGTGGGCAGAAGCTGTGCCACTCCTGGTTCTCAAAGACTCTTTCATTCAGCCCTTGCTGGGCCTTCTGACCGTAGTGATCCTGCTGCTAGTCGGGTTGAAGAACTCCCTGTTTATTCTCTTGAGAGTCCTACCCTGCCCACTGCTCTGAGGGACCTTGTCGCTTCTGGGTAGCTGCCTGGGGGTCATGTTGGCTATATGGCTATCCCACTGTGTTCAGGTGACACCTGGTGTCCCCTCTGCTAGTCCTGTCAAAGTTGTTCTGCAGAGGGAAGGCCTGGTAAATGCCTCCCATGAAAATCCTCGTTTAGCTCATCAGCGTGACGTTTAATACCGCAATTCAGAAAGCCATCACTGCTAGTTGGTGGGAGAGGAGCAGATGTCATGAGAAACCGTAGTCAGTAGGCAAAGGAAATATGTTTCAATGTGTGGATTTTCATTTTAAGTTACTGATCAGAGTCTCCACTGGTATTTGTGGAAATATCATTTTAAAAGTTATAATAAAGGAATTGAGTAAGGCACCTGCTCATTCAGGGGGAAAAACAAACAAACAAAAAACAGACGGTGGTCAGAACTGAGGCTTCGGGGATGCGGACGTTGTGGGATAAGCACTTCCTGTCTGCCTGCTGTACGAGCGAGGCATGAGTGTGTGAGACTCACCTGCCGCCGAGGGTGTGCTGAGCTCCATTCTGTCTCCCTCTGTAGAGAGAAGACACGGTTCAATGTGCAGACCTTCTCCCTCTCCGGCGTCTCCACCCTCCAACTCCAGGACATCACTAGCACAGGTGAAGACAAAAGCCTGTCTCAGCGGCCATAGCTCTGCCAGCAGCACCTCAAAGCCATTCAGAACGCCCAAAGACAATCTACTTACCTCCAGCAGCAAACAGCACACGGTCTTTTCTGCGAAAGGATCAAGGGACAAACCATGGTGAGTGTCCCCGTCACCACGGGAACCAGTGTTTACCCTCTGGCTTTGTTCCTGGGCGTCTGGTCTAAGGAGGGAAGGGACAGAAAACCCAAATGATGGGGTGAGAAACCGAAACATGGGAGGGAACACGGGACCTTAAAGTGTCATATGCCTAAGAGCTGAGCCAAGTTGCGTCTAAGGAAAGGGTACCAGGGAAATATTCCTCCGTGATGCGGTCACCTCTCAATTTTCTGCCCCAGTGAAGAGACGCATTGGTGTAAACAATCAAAAGCACAGCCGGGAGCCAGGCCTGGTCCTGTGCCCCTCCCTCCTCCGGGAGGCAGACCCCCCAGAGAGCCTCCCCACTGTGAGCAGCTGGGTTCTGCTCCTCGGAATAGCTGCCAGCAGAGGCAGGCGACGGGGACTGACCACGGGAGGAAGAGAGCAAATCCAAAGAGAATGTCACCCCTGTGATGGGGTGGGACAGAGCTGCTTGCAGGTGACTGGAAAATCAGAGACTTTTAATTCATTGTTTTATCTCAGCCTTTATCAGAAAGTCATAAAAGTTACCTGCGGAAAGGAGAGATAGGAAACCAGAGTGCAAACGAGGACAGGAAGCAGATGAGCACAGGCATACCTCTGAGATAATGCTGGGTGCAGGCCGCCGCAATAAAGCGAGTATCGCAGCAAAGTGGGTTATAATATTTTTGCTGGTAGAGGATCTTGTCTTCAATTTGTAAAAAAAAATTACAATATCTGCCCTGGCCAGTGTGACTCAGTTGGTTGAGCATCATCCCGTGCACGCAAAAGTTGCCAGTTCAATTCCCGGTCAGGGCATAAGCCTAGGTCTCGGGTTCGATCCCTGGTCAGGGTACTTGCAGGAGGCAACTGATTGTTGTTTCTCACATCAATATTTCTCTCTCTCTCTCTCTCTCTCTCTCTCCCTCCCCCTTCTCTCTCTCTAAAATCAATAAAACTATTTTTTTAATGCAACATCTGTGAAGTACAGGAAAGTGAAGCACAGTAAAACAAGGTATGCCTGTGTCTTCAAATGCTGAGGGACCCTAATTGGAACTCTTAAGGACTGGCTTGTTACAGAGCCTCATGAAGACAGACAAGGGATAATTGTGGAGTCTGTCTGATTTATATATTTGAAGAGAAAAAGTGTTCTGTTAATTAGTGATCGTAATTACACTTAAGTTCATACCTAGGAAAGCTGTGGACTAAAATCATCCGTCAATTGGTTTGTCGTTGCATGCTGGAGATTATGATGACTTTGTAAAGAGCTAATTATGCTAGATCAAGTAAAGAGCCTCGTGGTAGAGTGTTTAGCCACAGCTGTCAAGGAGGGGAGTTACCCGTCCTGCCGGGGGGCCTCGTGGACAAGCTTTGCTCTCTTCTGATCGCTAGGGTCTGAGGTCAATCCTATAGGACAGTGGTTCTCAACCTTCTGGCCCTTTAAATACAGTTCCTCATGTTGTGACCCAACCATAAAATTATTTCCGTTGCTACTTCATAACTGTCATGTTGCTACTGTGATGAATCATCATGTAAGTATCTGATATGCGGGATGGTCTTAGGCGACCCCTGTGAAAGGGTCGTTCGACCGCCAAAGGGGTCACAACCCACAGGTTGAGAACCGCTGCTCCAGGAGGCTGTAGCTGGTTAGGGAAGACCCAGCCTGCAAGTGACAGTGGTGGTGTCTCTGGGCCTCTGGGAGGGAGTCTCCCTCTTAGCAGAAAGCACCTGAAGATTGTTTGTTGCGGCAACATCAGGTGTCCTGATGTAAGCACAAGCTCCAGAATTGCTGCCTGTGTACAAATCTCAGCTGGGTGACTTTGGGCAAGTTGCTTGATCTTGGTGGGCCTCAGTTTTACTCATCTGTAAAATGGGTTGGGAATAGCTCTATCCCATAGGATTGTGGTGAGGGTTAAGTGAACTGCCTCTTACAAAAGCAGCAAGTGCATTGTCTGGAGCAGAGTACACATTTGCTAAATATTTGATGATAACGTTAAAGTCATCATTGGTATCACGTGTGACAAAGGACAGCGCTCCTATAAGCGGAATAAAGGTCGAGAACTCAAATATCTCTGAAAAAGTAGAGAATGGCTCTGACTCAGACTGAATTTGAAAATGGAAAAGGATAACATCATTTAATTCGGAGTCCAGAAGTGAGCTACAGAGAACCCAAATGAGGGAAGCGAGGCAAGGGGCTCAGGGGAAATTAGCCCGGAGGAGACTCTGGGGTCACAGAAGATCATAAAATGAACACAAGACATGATAAATGGTCAACGTGGTCCCAGGGAGGTGAGACTCGGCACCAGAAATCCTTCCAGGAGGCAAAGCTTTGGGAAGACCCCTGGGATTAGATCCGTCTCCACACTGATTCCACCGACTTAACACGTACTTAGTAAGACCTGTTGTGGCCCCTTCCACTAGAGGCAGAAGGTGCTTTTGAAAGAATTGGTAAAAACTAGCCAGGGCCCAAAGAAAAGCAACCAAAAGAAGTACAAGGAGGGAAATGGCTCTTATAAGAAAAAGGCTCCAAAACCTAGAGCCCTTGCCTGTGTAAAGGACAGAAAGCTAGTGGTCAATTTACCGAAGTTGAAGTAGGTAGATATTCTGCAGACAGACCCAGGGTTGCACCATGAAAAAGGCTGAGTGTTGATTACAGGGGTCTCACCTCCCATCAGTCAGGCTACCATCCCGCTACCCACCATCGCCAGGGACATGTGTTGGGAAGGCTGGAAAGATCTGTTAACTCCAGTCTGAGGGCCTGTGGACTGAAGGGTCCCAGGTTCGGTTCCGGTGGCCGATCGATGTTTCTCTCTCATCGATGTTTCTGACTATCTCTCTCCCTCCCTCTCTGTAAAAAATCAATAAAATATATTTTAAAAAATAGAATAAATAATAAAATTTAAAAAAAGAAAGAAAGTGGGAAGGGTGTCCCAGGCAAAGGTAACAGAATGGGCAGAAGTATTTGCATGTGGCGGGGGAGACAGATGAACTGAGTAGGTGGACTGGGTAGATTATCAAGTTCTACTATATGTACTAAGTTCAGGAATTTGGACATCCCCTGAAACTGCATAGAGCTCTTAAAGGAGCAGTTTTCAATTGTACTGAGATCACCCTGACCGCAAGATAAGGGATGGCTAGAGAGGCCACTCAGGAAGCAGCAAGTGAGGACACTTTTGTGTAATCCAGGTGAGACGTAACGACAGCATGGACCCAGGCAGTGGCAGTGGGCATCTGCAGAAGGGGCAAGATGGGAGAAATATTAAGGCAGAAAACAGCACTGGGCTTTGAGCTGGTTGTATACAGAGCTTGCAATACAAGGGAGGAGTTGAGGATGATGTCTAGGGTCTTGACTTGGACAAAGAGGTGACTGGTCCTGTCACTTGCTCAAGAAAAGGACAGAAAGGTCCAGAGTTTAGGGTGGGGAGGAGAGAATGAGTTCAGCTGAGGAGTCAATGGAGTTTGAAGTATCTGAGAAACACATATCTAGAGATGTTGGTGGGCATTGAATGTATGGACCCAGAGGCCAAGAGAGAGATGTGTGTTGGGAATGGAGATTTGGAAGTTGTCAGTGTAGACAACCAGGGGCATTGAAGCCATGGTTACAGATGGGGCCTCCCAGGAAGGTACGAGGCTTGAGAAGAGCAGGAACCAAGGTCGGTTCCCTGGGGAAGCAAGGTTCTTTCCACAGCATCCTGCCCCTTCTCTCCTGGCCCAAGTCCTCACTGTTCCGCACTGCCTATCCCTCCGGCTGCCTTTCCTCGAAGCCCTTCTCTCATTCCTTCCTCCTTGGCAGCCACCTGATGTGCTGGTGTGGACTTCATTTTTACCTTACCTGCGACCCTGTGTGTGATGCCACAGGTTAGGCTTCCTGCATTCCTTCTGCTCAGCAGTAACTGCAGGGCCACCTGTACAGTAGGTCACACTCCGCAAACACAGTCAGTCCCCTTGTCAGGAAATATTGGTTGAATTGAATGAAATGGGTTGTAAGATTTCCATTCCTGAAGGCTGTTAACTTTTTATCTGCAATTGTTTGGACCGGCACTAGCCAATGGCCATATAATGTGTGCCACACGTGTCATTTTAAATTTTCTAGTAGCCACATTAAAAAAGTAGGGGAAAAGGCAAAATTCGTTTTTAATAATATATTTTCTTTAACCTCACATACCTACAATGTGATCATGTCAACATACCATCATCGATATCATTTACGTTCTTTCTTTTATGTCTTCAAAATCCTGTGTTTTACACTTACAGCACATCTCCATTTGGAGATCTAAATTTTCATCAGAAATATTTGACCCATATTTACTAGTAGATTTTATTAAAAACTCACAATTATAAAACAGATCTGCATACCCACGTTGTTCCAAACATACTTAAACATTCTCTAACAACTGAATCAACAGTACCTCTTTTTACATGTTAATGAATTAAAATGAAATAAATTTTAAGATTGAGTTCCCTGTCCAGCACAGATCTGGACACCTAGGCCAGGGGACGCTGGGTGGGTCTCTATCCCCTGCCTCCCAGGTCCATGAAGGTGGCTCCTCCATCTCTTTCATGTGCCTCCAGACAGGAGCTCCTAAGTTCCAATGTGGAAGGAACTCTCGCTTCTTTCTCACATTAGCCTGCAGCTGGGCGTGCGGTGGCACTGACCCCGGGGACCCGATCGGGCCGTGCAGTCTCCCCGGCTCCAAAGGAGCCCCGTCTGCATTGGCCCTGGAGGCCAGGAGCACCGCAGCCACACTTGGCCCTCAGACTGGAGTTAACAGCAGGTCAGGGGCGCCCTTTCTCGAGTAGCGCCGATGCACGTGTGCAGTGATAAACACCAGTGCTGAATCCAGGCAGACTCCCCGGCCCCTCACACAGATTCAGATGGTCTGTGGACTTGTTGTTTCTCCCTTCAAGTCTGAGGAGATTAAAAATAGCTCTGCATTAGCCAAAGGGGGGAAACAGAGAGGCGTGCCCCCGGTTATGTCCCCTGCAGGTCTGCCGGCAGCACT